TGTGAAGATTTTTCTGCAGCTTTACGAATTTCTTCAAGGGTATTTGCTTTATTAAACAAAGTTTCCATGTCTTCTGACATTGTTTTGTGAACTAAAGCTACTCCCTGTAATGCTAAATTCAGAATTGATATAATTCTCTTAGCGAGATTATTCCAACTTTGATAAGGTACTATTCTTAATACTATAAGCATATCAAAATCTTCTTTAAGAAATAGACAAATCAAGGATATTTGAACTGATCCATATGTAACTCGATAGTCAGGACTTCCATTTGTATAAAGACAGAGAATCAGAGGAACTAAAGATTGATAATGTAAGAAAATAACTTTAAAGAATTCTGTTGCATGTCTAATACTACTACTTGGCTGAAAGATGGTATTTTTAAAAGAAACAAAAACTTTTTCACTGTAAAATGATTCTTCAATACTTCTGGGAATTTTACAAAAAAAGATAACTAAGGATGTTAAACTCAACTTTGTAAAATCATGATCATAAGCAACAAGATCTGCATCCTGTAAAATCATAGATCTTTTATTACGCATCCCAGTTGATGTGGTAACACTTTCTCCAATTGGAACTTTGTGTTTATCATCAGCACAAATAAAAGAAATATAATCTTGAAAAAGAATAGCAAATTCACGTAAATATCAAAAATAACAAGTACAATAGTGTGAATCAGGATGATTCTTACGTAAGAGTTAAGTTTGTACTTTAAAAATTATTTTAAATCAGCCATGTAATTAATTGCCTTAGCAGCAGTTGAATTAGTAGGTGAAAATTGTACTTGAATCCATTCTTCACAAGGAATATTAATTTGAAAAGAAAGTGGACTTTCATATTTATTTTCAAGTCTTTGAATTATACAATCACGAAGATCTCGAATAGATATTGCTATTGGTTTATATAAAAGACTGTGATGGCAACGGTCATCTACTGCAGCATTTATTTAAATATTAAAATAACATTTAGATAATTAATTGTTAACATATATAGTAAATTTTGATATTATCTTGTTAAAATATGCATCTAGTTCATTCTAAAAATGATCAAACTTAGTTCCTTTAAAACTATTATTAATTCTCATATCGACAATAATTGAGGGATCTTCAAATAATAACATCATTTTTAATCTTTTTTTAAGTTCTTTACTAATAGTATCGTTAGTTATAGCAGCATCACCTGTTAGATCATAATAAAGAACTCTCAAAATTGCTGGTGTAATAGTTTTTATCAATAAATACTATATTGAATGCATTGTATTAATTATTATTATTTTAATATTTTAAAAAATTAAATAAAAGATCATGAACTCTTACTTTATAAAGAATATTCTTATGCATTTGTCTAGTAAAATACTTAGGTAATAGTCCCTGAATACTTGCCATTGTTTATGCTAATTTCGTTTCATCTCTATCATCTAGAGAAGCTGGAATCCCCATATATAATTTAAAGTTCCTAAATAATTACCTTGATGATATCGATAAATAGTTATAGGAATATTGAGTTGTAAATTTTTAATATAATCATATCATTTAAATGCATCATTTGGTAAATAATGCTCTATATTTATAAATTCATATTTATCTTTAGAGCTTAAAGCATTTGCCAACTCTTCATAAATTTCTTTAATTATATCATTAGAATCAGCATCAATAGTATATACTTCTAGATTTATACTAGGATCTCTAGCTGGTAGATCACTATAATAAATTTCATGCATACAATCATTGGTTTTTTTCAAAAAATTTGTATACTGATCAACTATTATAATTAAAGCAAGAACTTGTTCAATCACTAATTCCCAAATTACTCCACAAGTCCAAGGAATAGATGTTGATAATGTTAAGGATTTTGTAAGATCAGTAAGTATAGTATAAGCTAGTTGTTGCTTTTTATGTTTTCCTTCAAAATAAAAACGATTGTAATTAAATTTTAATTTATATTGATTGAGTTTCAAAAAAATTTTTAAAAGATATAATTTTCGTACAGTAAATTTTTGTAGATGCAGATTAATATACCAAATTAACGCTACCAATCGTTCAACAAATTTTTTTCTAACTGTTTCATGCAGCCCATCAGTCCAACTAACATTGTTTTATTTCAATAGTTTTATAATATCATTATACAATAAATCATATCGGGTTTTTTCTTTCTTAATTGCAGGTAAAGCCAATTTGTTGGCATTTTCCATTAATATGGTAAATGCATTTGTTCCTGATATATTGTTTATACTTTGTATATTATTAAGTCTTTGTGAAATATCTTCTGGTTGTATGACAAACTTAATGTGTAAAGCCAAGTGTTGTCAATAAACTAAGTTCGTCCTGTAAGCCATCTTGAACAAAGTTCCATTTTGAGTTACCTTTTCTAACAAATATATAAACTTCACGAAACCTAAATACAGGTTGAACGAGATTTTAAAAAGATCATTAAAGGTTAAAGTTTGCTTTTCTAAAGAAAGAGAAGTATTTTTAACTATTCTAGAGCTAATTAGAACTTTGCGCTCTTCTTCAACTTGAACTACAAAATATGACATTTCAAATAAAATAAGGTTTGAAATATACTTGTGTTAAGTTTACATATCTGCGATTGTTGCATTTTTGTTAAATATTTTCCGTGATTTGTATTAACTTATGAATAATTTTAAAAAACTTGGAAAATATTTAATATTTGAACATTTTAAAGTTGTAATATGAGAAAGTTATTTAACTTAATAATGTAACTAGAAAGATTTTAATATATATCATGTGATTTAATATATGTTGTTAAACTATATTTTGAAACTAATATAGGAGGGGAGATTGATATTAAACAGATGATTTACTTGGTCTGACCTTATTTAATTTATGAAAAATTCAAATTTCTAACTCAATGTAAATTTTTAACTCAATATAATAAAAATTTCTTATTAAATTTTTTTGAGAAACAATCAAAATTTTGATCAGATTAAGATTGACATTAATTAGAGTTAAACAATGGAAAATAATGAAAATATCAAGGAAATATCAGGTTAAGCTAAGGATAAAATGGGATTTTAATCAATAATTTCCTGATCATCATATTTAAATCTTTTTAGTTTAAAAAATTGCTAATTACCCAAACAGAAATCCAATCTTCTATTACATCTTTTTTTTAATGATAATTTTTTTTTTAAATTTAAATATTGCAATAATTATTATTTTATTTTTTTATATTCTTTAATTTACTTTTTCTCGTTGGCTACTTAATTTCATTAAAAGTTGTCTTTTAAATGATATTTCATTCTTTTTCATTCTTTTAAATAAATTCAAATAAATTATGAATTGTTTAAATTGAGCATCTCAAGCAGTAATTCCAAGAAATAATAAGGAAAAGCAAGTAAATAGGAGAGTAATAAGAACCTCTAATCAAACTTTCAGGGTATATATATATTTTTTTTATTTTTTAAAATGATCTATTTATGAGAAAATACATAAAGCTTTGTATCCTATGTTTTCTCAGTATAGAGAATATATTGTGAAGTCCAAATTATTTATAGTCAAGCATTATTATTCAAAAACATAATAGATTTTTTTTATTTTT